ACCTGAAAAGGGGGACTGGGAATGAAAGGAGGGGTGGAGGGCGAGAAGAGATGAAGCCAAGATAAGCATTCTTCGGAAGTTTACTGTTCAAATCTCAATTTAAAGGGGGAGCCCCACCAAAACCCTTCTTGTTTCAGCCAGAGATGGGTGGGGGAACCCATCCTTGGTCACAACTGGAGATATATAAAGGCAAGCTCAGCATCTCAAGGCAAGGTCAGCGGGCAGTCTATTCTTCTAAGTTCCTGTAGCAAGCTGTGCACGCTGCCAAGGTGGGTAACTCCACCTAGGTGTCTATTGTCATGCAGCCAAGGTGGGTAACTCCACCTAGATCCTATTATTTTTGGTCTATTGTGGTAAACGAGGTCTTTCAGGCCTGCTCAAGGCTGGGGGAAGGGCACGATTCAGCTGGGCAGTGCTAGCCTACACTGTTAATCCCAGCACTTGGGAGGCAGAGGCAGGAGGAGCTCTGTGAGTTCAAGGCCTGCCTGGTCTACAGAGCAAGTTCTAAGACAGGGCTACACAGACATACATGTGTCTCAAAACAAACAAACAAACAAACCAAAAGTGCTCACACTAAGAAATCCAGTTCTAGATGCCGCTCTAGCACTGTTCCTGGGAGAGCAGTGATCCTATCATTGTTCTCTCCATGTTTTGAGCCAGGGAGGGACATCACCAGCCCATGTTGCCATGTTTACTCATGTCTGCTTTAGGACTGGATTAATGGTGGCAAGACTAGACTATGACCCACTGCCACTCCTGACTACAATACACTATGAATTTTAATGTCACCCTGTGGGAAAGCATAGAATTACTAATGAACCAAAATCTGTAAGACAAGAAGCAAGAGTGTCAAAAGCATGAAGAAGCCACAGGAAAGTAGAGACTGGCTACCCAAACAACACCATGCAGTGGGCCACACTCACAGGCAGTCGCAGGTCCTGCTCCAGAACCACAGACCCTCAAGGAACTTCATAGCTGCTAGGAGGAAAACGTTGTTTTGTTTTTTTGTTTGTTTGTTTAAAAAAAAAAAAGCCTAGCCACAGCCTTTGACCTGGCTGGAGGGTTTGGTGGAAAAGTTCTGCTCACTTCTGTAACAGGAAATCCCGTGGAGGCTCAAAAAAGCTTCTGGGGCAAAAGAAGGAGGCTACCCTTGGCCAAGAACCTTCTCTGGAAGCAAGCAGGTAAATTGCTTTATGATGCTGCCAGGTGGCTTCCTGGCACTTCTCGGATGTGGGCACCAATGTCAACACAGGCACAAACTTCAGGATTAGGGTTGCCAGATGTAGCGAATAAAAATATAAGACATTCAGGCGAATTCGAACATCAGATAAAACACAATTTCTTTATTTGGAGAGTATATCTACATGTAGTCAGTCACCCTGCTCAAGACAGGGTCTCTTGCTAAACCTGGAATTCACTGATTGTCTTGAGTAGCTAGCCAGGCAAATCCGGGCAACCTCCTGTTGGGAGCTCCAGGCCAGGAATTCCAGGTGCACCCGCTCTGAGCTTTTCACAGGGGTGCTGTGGGTCCCGACTCAGGCCCTCATGTTTGGATAGCAAGCACTTTACCCACTGAGCCATCTCCCCAGCCCCCACCTTATTTTTAAATTTAGACTAGAAACAGAGTTGCATTATTTTAGCGCAGAGGTGGGGCAGTCTTTGTTGCCATATTGTTTGCTTTATCAAATGTTTGGCTCTACAGAGGCGGAGAGTACTGATGTGGTTTTACATTATTCTGTGCGGTGGTTAAGGAATGTATATTGTTAAAGTAACACTGTTTGGATCATTCCCAGTTGAGTTACTGAAGGAGATAAACTGTTTCTTTGTCCAGAGTCATACAATCTTACTTAACCAGACAAGCTGTTTCCACGTAAGCAGGCACCCATTCCGTGAGATCCACAGAAGAAAATGGGCTGGATATTCACCTGCGTAGGTGATATATCTAAGTATACAATCAAATCCTACTTTATATCAGTAGCCTAAATTAAAAGATAAAAGGTTTGCCGAACAAATGGACAGGAAACATACGATATACCTAACAGGTAGGAAGAAAAAGAACACCAGAGAAGAAACACTAAGGACCAATAAAGGTGTGCTTAATAAAATATAATAACTGTATCACAGTCCAATGCATTCATATTCCATGATTGTTTTACATTTTTCATTGTTCTTTAAAATTGAACATTTGGGTTTCTAGGGGTTTGTGGTTATAAATAGATCTTCCATGAGGAATCATGTACCTAGATTTTTATGTATCATTTTCTTGGAAGTGCAAGCACTTAGATGATATGAAATATTTTTAAGGTATTGCTAAGCATTCTTAACTCACTTCCCAGAAGTATATACAAGTTTATGATCTCATGAATGGCATACCTGGGGAAAGAAAAATGTTAGTAAGATGTAGAAATAGAGATCATTCAACCATTAGAGTACAGGCTGCTTTCGCAGAAAACCTGAGTTCAATTCCTAGCGCTCACACTGGACAGCTCACAATAACCTGAAACTCCAGCTCCAGGGGCTCTGACATCCTTCTATGGTTTACATAGATGCCAGCATGCAAACACACACACACACACACACACACACACACACACACACATCTGTCTGTCTATCTGTCTGTCTGTCTGTCTTTGCATACTGACTGCAGTTTCCCCTCCTTCTTTTTCTCCCAGTCCCCCCTCTCTCATCTCCTTTCTCCCTTCCCCATTCACTCTTCCTCCATTTCTCTTCAGAAAAACAGGCCTCCCTTGTATATCACCCAGCCATAGCATATCAGGCTGCAGTAAGACCTCCTTAGACTATAAGGAGGAAAAAGGCAGCCCAGGGAGAGGAAAGGGTCCTACAGGCAGGCAACAGAGTCAGAGACAGTTCCCGCTCCCACTGTTTGGATTCCCACATGAAGACAAACTACACAACTGTAACATATGTGCAGAGGGCTTAGGTGTATCTGAAACTGGCTCACTGTGTAGAGTGAAAAATTATAGACACTGGGTATATAGAATTCTTTTTAGACATATAAAATATTCTTTAGGCTTTCTTTATAAAGACATGGAGAAACCGAGCCATGAAACAAGTTAAGAATGTGGACAGGCTAGTTACAGGAACTGGCTAGAATGCAAGATAGCCAGGTAGAACCAAGCTGAGAACCGCAGTGACAGGGCAAGGCCCAAGTAACAGGGCAGGACCACATTCTTGAGGAAAGATAAGCGTACAGAAAGTTTTCACATGACCCTGACTCGTGTAGGTTGGGTTCCTTTGGAATGTTCCGCTATTTTTATGTTATGCCACCTTAACAACCATGAGCCCCCTCCCCATTCCTTGGTTTGTGGTTTTTCCCCTTAAAAACCCCTCTCAAACTGGCTGTCTGGGTCAATTCAGCTCCTGCGTGGGCATACAATTTGACCAGCAGCTAGCTGTCACGCTCTAATAAACCTCGCTATTGCTCCGGTACATGGTGTCTCGAGCAGATTACTGGGTGGTCGAGACTTTCTGAGACTTGAGTGAGGGTCTCCCCTCTGCGGAGGTCTTCAACTGGTTGTTGGTTTAGTCTTTGTGAGCCCCTGTTGAGCCCAGGTTGGTTGATTCTGTGGATCTTGTCTTGTCTTGTTTGGTTTTTCGAGACAGGGTTTCTCTGTGTACCCCTGGCTGTCCTGGAACTTGCTCTGAAGAACAGGCTGGCCTCAAACTCAGCCACCTGCCTCTGCCTTCCAAGTGCTGAGATCAAAGGTGTGTGCCACCGTGCTCAGCAATCTCTCTCTCTCTCTCTCTCTCTCTCTCTCATTTTCAAGGCAGGGTTTCTTTCTTTGAATAGTATAGCCTTGGCTGCCCTGGAACTAGCTCTGTAGACCAGGTTGGCCTTGAACTCACAGATTCCTCTGAGTGCTGGGGTCAAAAGCTTAATTTGGATCTTTTGAGGTGAGAAGACACTTCTAATCCAGATCTTTTGAAGTTGGAAGATACACCTTTAACATTCCGCTGGCAACCATGGAAGAAGGAAGCTTGTTCTTTCTTGGCCTGCTTGCTCTCACTGGCAAGTCTGTTCCTTCACCGGCAGTAGAGCCTATTTCTCTGGGTTGTACACTGAAGACCAGTTGAGACAGCCTGCCTTATGGGCTGAACTAGGATTCATGGAAGGTGTGCACCACACTGCCAGGCCAGAAACCCAACCAACCAAATAACCAACCAAATAACCAACCAACCAAACAACCAACCAACCAAAAAAACAAAACAAAAAAGCTTTTTAAAAAGGAAAATATGGGGGCTCAGTGGTTAAGAGCACTGACTACTCTTCCAGAGGTCCTGAGTTCAAATCCCAGCAACCACATGGTGGCTCACAACCATCTGTAATGAGATTCGATGCCCTCTTCTGGTGTGTCTGAAGACAGCTACAGTGTACTCATAAATAAAATAAATAAATCTAAAAAAAAAAAAGGAAAATATTTTCGAAAAGCTTTGAATTTTTATTGTGTGAGCTGTCTGTCACTTTTTTTTTTTTATGATAATGTTGTTTAATTTGCCAAATATACAAGTTGAATTTGAGGAGCATGTCTTGTCTGGGCGATGCACAGTAACCAGAGGTTTCTTGAAATGATCAATGGGTAGGGTTAAAAATGGGCACTAGCCCCGACCAGGTGGGTGGGAAGGGGACGGAGCAGAGAGGAGAGGCCTCGTCGGACGGAACTGGCCAGGCACAAACCTTGGACCTTTTGTGGCACAGGGTCCTGGACAGCCCCTCTGAGTGAGCACCCAGACAATCTGGGCAGGTTGTCATCAACTCCCACAGCAGCTGACTGCTGGCACTACCCTCCCCGCTAACGTGCAATCTACTGGACAAACGGAATCTCCTTACCCCACTTCCCAGGCGTCCCCCCTCCCCCAACCAGGGTTCCAAATTCTAAAAACAGCAAAAACATTCAAATGGTTACGTATGAAATGCTGTCCTGCATCTTTCTGACTCAAAGATAGCAGCTGCTCCTCCCCCCAACCCCCCACATCCCCTGAACAATTCCTGTGCCAAGATGAAGAGGAGGCCCCAGGCCGTAGGGGCTCCTGGCCATAGGGGCTGCTGCAGTGGCGCCAGGGCACAGGGTGGGTGAGACATGGCAGAGGTCCTGGCGGCACGGTCCAGTTCCCCGGCATCTCCTCCCACAGGCCATCTTACTTATTCAGGGAGAGCGACTGCATTCGTTTTCCTGACAAAGTTGCGTCATCTTTTGCTTTCCTCTCTTCTTCCTTCTTTCTTGCTGCTTCCTCCCTCTGTTTCCGGATGATTGCCAGCCGGGCGAGATCAGCTTTGGCCTGCTCTGTCTTCCCAGCCAAATGCATCTTCATGTAGCGCTCTTTTGCTTTCTGCTTCTCTATTTCTTCTCGTTCTCTCCTAGAAAGCTCCTTTGGCCCATCCAGATCCAGTTGTGTGACCTTCTTAGTCGTCTGTGCCACCCGGTTGGGGTTCTCAATGTCAATGAGCCCTTCCACACCTTTTCGCTTTTGCTGGTAGTCATCATCTTCATCTTCACTCTCATCTGAGTCTAGAGACTTCTTCTCCTTTTTAGGGTCACCTGAAGCCCCATCTCCACCTTCTTCTTGTTCATCTTCTTCGTTGGCCTTCTGCTTCTCCGCCTGTAGCTGGGCATCGATCTCCTCAGGGCTTGTATACTGCCTCACTCGGCCTTTGTGGCCTCCCTTTCTACCTCCTTTAGGCATCTCGGCTCCGGCGGCTGCAGCGGCGGCGGCGCCTCGAACTCCTGTCTGTCACTTTTAATCATACACATAAAAGGTATCGGTGAGATGGCTCAGTGTGTGAAGATGCTTGCTGCACACGCCTGGTGACGTGAGTTCTATCCCTGGGACCTACGTGAAGGTGGAAGGAGAGAGCAAACTCTTCAGTGTTGTCCTTCGGCCTCTACATTTACTCCCACCCTCGGCATCTTACACAGACACAGACATACACGCACATGCGTGCAAGTGCACACACACACGCGCACACACACAAATAAAAATAAATCTTTAAAAAAACCAAGAAGAAGGTGAGTATGGTGGTCCATGCCTTTGATCCTAGACTGGGAGGTAGGGCAGAGGCAGGCAGGTCTCTGATTTGGGGCCACCCTGGTTTATATAGAGTTCCAGGCCAGACAGAGCTACATAGTGAGACATTGTCTCATAAACTAAATGAATAGAACAAAACAACTAAAATGGAATGTGATCGAGGTCATCTGACACTGACCTCTGACCTCTATACACATGTACACATGAGTACACATGTGCATATACATGCATGTGAACACATGAACATGCACATATACTACATGCATACACACACAGACACACACACACAGAGACATACACACACACACACACACACACACACTGAAAAGTGGAGCATCAATGCCTTTAAATAGTTCCTCAAAAGAGAAAAGAGAAAAAAGCAAATTCTTATCTAACAGAGTGACTGAGATTTCATACATGGAACTCACCAGAACCTCAGTGTACAGTCCCCGCCCCAGATTCTGGTCAAAAGGACTAGAATGCTCCATCCCATGGTGTTCTTGGTTACATCCAGCCATGTTCTGAGCTTAAGGGTTAGTCTCTCATGTCGGCCAGGCTAGAAACCAGGAGCGACTGCCAGTTGGGATGAGCATGTAGGCCCCTTCTTTGGTCTGCTGCTTTCCAGCTCAACCAGACATGGTTGTCTCTGGCTCATCTAAAATGAGCTGCCTAACTGAGCCTCAGTCTGTGTGTCTACAATATGGGAGGGTTTAATGTCTGCTGCAAGAGCTGTGTTTCAAGGACAGCATAAACCAGATAAGGTATTGACATCACAGAAAGCATTTAGAATATTCTTGTTAGAGTCTGGAAATATGGGTGTCAGCAGTTCTCTCTGATCAATGGAATGCCCGTAGTAATGTGGGAACTCGTGCTAACATGGGTTTCTTCTTAAGCTCTGCCAATCTTGTACCTTCATTTAACTTGGAGTTCCTTAGGCAGGTACTGTCACACACATGGGTGCCTGGGGCAGTCCTAGCCAGAGGGCTCATGGCAGTGGACACGAGCCAACAGACCTGGGTTGGTCAGGCTATTTGGTCATTCCTACTTTGAAAGGTGGCTGGTTTCCAGGAACCAAAACTGGTTCTCATGAAAATGTGCTTTTGCATTTTAAACAAGGCTTCAAATAAATATTCTTATCTAAATCATGTCCTTGGGAGAGTGTCTTACCATAGCTTAAGATGTGTCAGGAATTCCTCTTTAGAGATTGCTTTTGTCTAAGTTACATTTTTCTGAATATTCCCAATCAGTCGTTTTATTCTCTATGCTTTGAAGGAAAGCTTAATTTTAGAAATCCTTCTTTTTTTTTTTTTTGGATTTTCGAGACAGGGTTTCTCTGAGTAGCTCTGGCTGTCCTGGAACTCACTCTGTAGACCAGGCTAGCCTCGAACTCTCGAGGCTCAGAAATCCGCCTGCCTCTGCCTCCCAAGTGCTGGGATTAAAGGCGTGCGCCACCACCGCCCGGCTAGAAATCCTTCAAAAATAATTTTGAGAGACATGTGAGAAGGTATAGTCAAGTGTAAGTAAGATATTTTTTTAAGTGAAAATGTTACTTGTGACATTCATGTGTCCTGCTACCCATCAGACTCCAGTGCCCAGCACACAACCACTTGACATGTCTTTGTTGAATGGTAAACACAACTAGACTCTACAGGGGCCCACAGACTGGCTTTCAAAGAACTCTGGAAAGAGTTATGGGTAACAGCAACCTCTTTGGGACTAATGAATCTAGTTAATATGCTAGCTAGAAATTTGCTATTTCTATACATATGATCAAGAAGAAAACGGTAGCAATTGTTTACCCATTAGTGGCTGAGCCTGGATTGATTCCAAAGGTACACACTGGACAAAAGCAGATATTCTAGGATGGATTATTCATGTTGATAACCTATAGAACATTTAAGCATAGATCCTTAATAAAGATGGTACCTGAATAACTCCTTCTTACAGGAAGACTACACGTCACTGGCATTAAACCAGACTTGCCAAAGAGCTGAGGTCCATGTGCCCACACCTTCACCCTCATGCATTTCAGTGTTTGGAGCTAAACAGCTCACAGGATAGAGTGCACTGGCTGACCATCAGACCCCTTCATGGTTCTGGTTTTAAAGCTCTTACTTGTTTAAAATGTTTTTTAAAAATGTGTTTATGTGCACCTCATGCATGCCTGGTGTCCCAAGGAGTCAAAAGAGTGTCTGATCCTTTGGATCTGGGGATTGTGAACCACTGTTCTGCAAGACTGTGAACCACTGTGTGTGTGTGTGTGTGCTGAGAATCAGGTCCAGGTCCTCTGCAAGAGCAAAAAGTGTTTTTAACTTCTGAGCCACGTCTCCAACCCCATTGGGGAAAACCCCTTATGAACCACCTCCTGGTCTTTGCTTCTTTGTGTGTCTACTAACCTTAATGTCTGAACTGAGAAGAGGCACAGAGCTAGGCTAGATTCCCTGCAGGCACACACTAGGGGAAGCAAGGGCCTACAGATGAAACAGAAAGTCTTTCAGAGCAGCAGAGTCCCAGCTTTAAAACACACACACACACACACACACACACACACACACACACACACACACACTAAAACTCAGCCTAAACCCAATTGCTCCTGGACATGGACCCAGTCCCAGCACACAGGTCATCTGAGGGCATGCTCAGGGCACCCAGCCAGCCACCAGGCGGGAAGGAAGCTGCAGTGAATGTCGGCCTCTTCGCCCAGCCCTCCACCTTCTGAGCAAGTCCAATATCCATGCCTCTGTGAGGTAGACCCGGGCACCTCACAGGCTCCTTCTAGACCAAGTCGCCTGCTCTGGCCTCAGACACAGCATACACAGTGCAGCCGGGGTGGGGGTGGGGGCAGACAAGGAGCAGCTGTGGATAACCAGCCAGCCCTGGTTTCTCCTTTCTGAAGCACTCACAAAACCATCAGAATTGCCCTTTTTTCCAGCTTCATGGTCTCCCTGCCCTTTTCACGCTGTATAATGCAAACCTGCAGGCCAAGTCTTGTTTTATCTTTCTCTATTTTTAGATTTATTTTATGTGCATGTGGTATAGGTATGTGCATAGGCCTATATGTATGCATTTTGCGTGATATGTATACAGTACAGTCCTCTCTGATATCAGAAGCAAGTATCTGATCCATTAGAACTGGACTTGCAAGTAGTTGTAAGCCACTATATAGATGCTGGGATCTGAACCTGGGTCGTCTGTAAGAGCAACTAGTGCATTAACCTCTGAGCCATCTCTCCAGCCTCCCAACTCTTTAAAAAAAAAAAAAAGAGTTTATTTATCTTATGTGCTCACTCTTTCTCATGAATTGGGGGTGGGGTGGAAAAATGAAGGTCAGAAGATAATTTGCAGAGGGCGATTCTCTCCTTTTTTATTATGGGTCCTGGGAATCGAACTCAGGTCATCAGGTTTGTTGGCAAGCACCTTTTCCCAAAGAGCCATCACACTGGCTGGCAACCTTTGCACTGAAAATCCTGCTACAACCTTGTTCAAATGCCATGCGATACAAGGAGTACTCTTATTTGGGCCTGCAGTGTTTCTCTTTTAGAGATGAGCTATCTGCCCCATCGGGACCACCACATTGTCCCTTCTTATCCCCCTGCTTTGCCTATGCTGCTCTCTCTCTTGGCCTGGAATGGCATTGCCACCACCCTCAGGCATTCCCCACATCACTCTGCAAGGCTTGCATAGATGTGTTCTCTAAGGACTATCCAGCTCCCCGACTCTGCCGACCCACACATCCCAACTCCATTTGCTGTCTGGCTTCTGTAATCCCTGGAGCCACCTTGTAAAGCTACTTTGCCTACAGCTTTAAGAAAACAGAAGCCCAGACTGAAGACCCAGCCAGGATTTCTACTCAGGTTTATGTTGCTTAAATCATTCCCGGGTCTGTTCCTCACTAGTTCCTCACTCACAAAGCCAGTATTTGAGCATGAGATAGCACCGATTTTGAAGATAGTCTTAGGTTTTTGTTTGCTTGCTTTGTTTTTTTTGAGACAGGGTTTCTTCTTGTAGCCCTAGTTGTCGTGAAACTCACTCTATGGAGCAGGCAAACCTTGAACTCACAGAGATCCTCCTGCCTCTCTCTCTTGAGTGCTGGGATTAAAGGTGTGCACCGCCGCCGCCACCACTGCTGGAGATAGTCTTAGTTCTTTTTGCTTTTGCTTTTTGAGTCAGGGGTTCTCTTTGTAGCCCTGGCTATCCTGAAACTCACTATAGAGCAGGCTAGCCTCCAACTCGCAGAGATCCACCTGTCTCTGCCTCTCCCATGCTTGGATTAAAGGCACATGCTGCACCGCTGCTGCCACCACCACCACCAGGGATATCCTTAGGTTTTCTAGCAAGGAGCTTAGAATAGGGTAGTTCAAGGACTTGTCTAAGGGTATCCCCTGTGCCTGGTTTCTCACATGCCAGCTTCTACCATGTGCAGATTCCTTGCTGGGGTAACATTTGCTGGAGATTCTCAGATGCAGGTAACCTGACATCCACATGTACTGCAGGTAGGGCTCTAAACCAGACAAGAGAGAATACTGCATTACCACCCCAAAGACATACCAGCTTGGTTGTACAGGATGGTCTGGTTCTAGACAATGGTGACTTATACCTTTCTCATATAAAAGAATTTAGTGCTGGGCAGCACTGCCTTGCTGCTGTGTTTCTCCAGTCAGGGCCCAGGCTGTTCCCATCCCTGCAGTC